CCTACATTTTTTAGCCGATTTCAACAAAACTTCACAGGACTACATAAAATTACCTTTTGGTGGTTCTAACGGCTCGAAAATGGGAAAAACAAAATGGTTTTTTAAGAAAATCAATTTGAAAACACGATTAAGACACATCGTGAGAATGAAAGGTAGACAACTCACCCACGAAAATGTAAACAAAAGAGCATAGCATGATGAAAAAGACGCCGAACTTGATGAAAACAAAATTTTATCGTCTTATGTTCATATTATTATTAAAGAGGAAAGATCACAGTATTTTGGGGGTATTTTTTTACATTTTTTAATCGTTCCTAGCACGTCTGAAATTTTTGGTAAAAAAAAAGGACATAATCAATCATTTTCAATCATTTTTTTCGATTAAAATCTGACTTTGGTATTCTTTTAAAAATCAATTATCATTTTTTCAAAACTCATTTTAATAAAAACAGAAATTATACTGTTTATTTAAAATATCTTGAACCAAGCTTAACTTAGCTTCTGCGCCGAAAAAATGTAATTTGAAAATAAAACAAAGCAGGTCATAACCTTTCGCGTCGCTTGACGAAAGGCACATTCATGACGTTTAGATAATTTACGGGAGGGTAATTCTTTCTACGGATGGAAGGAAGTGAAATTATTTAAGTGAACAAATTATTTACCTCGTTACTTTTAAGGAAAACTTTCAGCGCTCTAATTTTTTATTTATTTATTTTTTTTTTGTACTTAGCTTTCATTTTTACGTTTACGATGCTTTATGGAAAATATAAAGAAATTCAAAAATAAGACTGTTAATAGTGAGATTAAATTTCATAAGAAAAAGGTATCTAATTAATTTAGGTACCTTTCTTATGAAATTTTATCAGAAGTGTACATAAAATACTATAATTTTATGTATATTTATTACATTTTACTCTGTTATTTGTATTTCCATTCATTTTATTATTAATTTTGTTTGATATTTCATTTATGGAAAAATGTCATAACTGAGATTAATATAAAAATAAGATCATATAAATTAAAGTTTAGCAGTAGTTAAATTTCATAAGATGATACTGTTACTTGTAGGTACCCTTCTCAGTTGAAATTGAAAACTCAAATTAACTTCTCTATATGTGTTTCGCAAAAGTAAAGGGCTTAACAGCGGAGAACAATGCTGAACTCAAATAATGCAACTAAATTGAATTCTGGTTGGTCTTCCGTACTTGATAATTACTGTTCGACTATAAACACAAAAATTACATTTCTTAATTACCATGGCTAATCTGATTGGTCCAAATTATACAATTTTCAAAGCGCTAGACAATGACAATCTCACACGGACATTTTGAAAGGTTGATGTTGCTTTTAACTAATGTTAAAATATTTTTAAAATTTCAATTTAAAATTTTTTTAAAAATCTTTTTAAAATTAAAGAAATAAGAAATAATTGTATTAAAAAATTCAATTTTCATTGAAAAATTTTTGCTTTCAGAAAATATTGTCCATATTCATAAAAACAAATTAAAACAAATAAAAGCATTTGAAACTAAATAATATATTTGTTTTATTGAGTTTTGTATGTTACAATTCACAGCTGATTTTCAGGTACGTTGGCCAAAAAAAACATGATTTGCATTCTTCAAAGCCTTGTGCTTTTAACTATTGTAATCACTAAAACTGATGGTCTCGAATTTCTAGAGTTTTTCATAAAATTAATTATGGGGGTGTTAATAAATATAAAAAAATATTTCTGCCATGACTTTAATAAAAAAAAAAACATATTTATAATAATTTCGATCACCTGTGAATAGTTTCTGAAAGTTTCATTAACATCTGACAATTATTTTTATTTTCGCAAGATTTTCCAAATTAATGTGTAAATCCAAAAAACGCGCTAAAAATTATCTATGTTATTTACTACCCCTTGTTGCGACAAAGAGAAACAAGGTTTTTTAAATCAAAATTTAGAATATTCTAAAAGATGGAAAAATTTTAAAAATAATTAAAAAAAAATTTAGTCTATCCTCTTCCTAAAAAACATAAGCATTTTGACGATAAAATTTTGTTTTCATAAACTTTGGCGTCTTTTTCATCAGACTATGCTCTATGTTTTAGCGATTCCGTGGAGTGACTTAGGTTAAAAAACCCAGGTTGTTTGTTTGTTTGTGTGTGTGTGTGTGTGTTCCTTTATATATGGGATCGGATTTCTTACATTTTTCAGCCGATAAAGCAAACATCCACTTTTTTTTTTGGCAGGTAATATTTCTTATTGTCTTGCACACTTTTTTCTTTATTTATACATTCAGAATGCTTTAAAAATTCCATTTACAAGACAATTGTTTATAATAAAATTCTAATTCTATTCAATCGGGGGACTCATCATAACGATATTGAAAACAATGTTTTTGTTTGAGTTTGGGTTTGACCAATTCGTAAAAAAAACAAAAAAAACTAAGACATGCGTGTCCGTCAACCTAAACAATAATCTAACTATCTTTACTGATTGTACGAATCGAAAAATCGGATAATTCTTTATCTTTAGGGAAAGATAATTCCGTGTACTTTAGGGCCGTTTTTACAATTCCCTTTGCAATTTGTTACAAGGCAGATCAATACGGCATTGGTTCTATTTGAAATTAATTCAATATTTAAAAGAAAGTAATAAGAAATAATTTAAAAATGCCGACGTAAGAAATCTGATAGACAAAAAACTACAATATTTCGAAGATGATAATTATTAAGGAAAGAACACAGTACTTGTAATAAATGAATAAACCCAAATAAAGTTAATATTTTTTGTATTAGAAACAACGAGTGGAAAATATATTCAAATCAGAATTCTAATTATGAATCACCACAAGCAAAATATGCAATTTTTTTTACTGTATTCAATAAGTAAAAATCATAAATTGTAAAAAAGATTACAGAGAAAGGCTACCTACATTTTTCAACCGATTTCAAAAAACTTCACATTTTTTTTGCAGGTAGTGTTTCTTATTGTCTTGCACATTTTTTCTTTATTTTTACATTCAGAATGCTTTAAAAATTCCATTTACAAGACAATTATTTATAATAAAATTCTATTCACCAATCGATAGTCTCATAACGATTGTAAACAATGTTTTTGTGTGAATTTGGGTTTGACCAATTCGTAAAAAAAAAACAAAAAAACTAATTAAGACATGCGTGTCCATCAACCTTAAACAATAATCTTTGTCAATTTTATTTTTCAGTCTTTATGATGGTCGATACTTGATCTATCTCTTACTGTTACATCCCCGGGCAACGCCGGGCTCTACTGCTAGTATACAATAAAGTAATAATAATAATAATAATAATAATAATAATAATAATAATGCATAGGTCAACAAGTATTAATATATTTTTATTCTAATTCTGCTTTTTTTTCTTGGACTCTTTCTTTCTTTCGTCCTTAACTGTTTTTCTTTCTTTCTTTCTTTCTTTCTTTCTTTCTTTCTTTCTTTCTTTCTTTCTTTATTCTTTCTTTCTTTCTTTCTTTGTTTCACCCTTATTTTTTTTTTTCTTTCTTTGTTTCATTTTATCTTTCTTTCTTTCTTTCTTTCTTTCTTTCTTTCTTTCTTTCTTTCTTTCTTTCTTTCTTTCACCCTTATTTTTTTTCTTTCTTTCTTTCTTTCTTTCTTTCTTTCTTTCTTTCTTTCTTTCTTTCTTTCTGTTGCTCTTTAATTATATAGTTAATGTTGTTATTTTAGTACGCAGTTGATCTCGCACACAAATATTTAAACAAATATACTAAATCTTTTAAAACAAAACTTAGTTCGAAATCCCATTTGAAAGGTTTGCAAATCACTCTTTTTTTTGGTTCCTCAAACGTTTACCGTAAGTGGTTCATAAATTACGAAATTCACCCTCTTAGATCATTCATCCGCCCCTGACCCGAACGTAGTACGGACTTAAGACGCAACCCATCATTAAGTAGAACCCATTTTCAGTCAGTATTAAAAAGAAAATCTGATAATAATAGTAAGGGCATGAATTTAATAGAAAACAATATTTGGCAGCATCGATCAACAAGTATTAATACAGAATTCTCCTACTTCTAAAATGGACGACCCGTTTTTACATTATGCAATAAATTGCCTTTCAAAATGACTACATTCTTTGTGAGTTTCAATTATTTTCTAAAAATAATTTAACTGAAATTTGGTTTGAATAAAAAAACAAAAACAAAAAAACGAAATTCGTTTCATCCAGAACATCTACATATATGAAAATTCTATTTTTATTTAATTTTACTTTAAAAATTTTTCCTTCTTTTTCGTTGTCGCCGGAAGTCGAGGTGTCGGTAAGTAAAAGATCATCTTTTCCCGCCTTCTTTCTTTCTTTCTTTCTTTCTTTCTTTCTTTCTTTCTTTCTTTCTTTCCTTCTGTCTGTCTGTCTTTCTTTCTTTTTCTTTCTGTTGTTCTTTAATTTTATAGTTAATTTTTTTCTTTTAGTATGCAGTTCATCACAGACACAGAGTAAACTAAAAACATTTAATAAAAAAAAAAACATTTGTAAGGATTGTAAATTTTTCTTGATTCCCCTAACGTTTCATCTAAGTTACCCTTACATTACGCAATTTTAGATAATTTTCTCAGTCCCTGGTCCGAACCCAGTACGGAACTTCGATGCAACCCATCAGTAAGCAGTAGCCATTTTGTGCCAGTATTAAAAAGAATCATTTCTTAAAATCTGATAATAACACTAAGGGCATGAATTAAATAGAAAACAATATTTGGCAGCATCGATCAACAAGTATTAATACAGAATTCTCCTGCTTCTAAAATGGACGGCCCGTTTTTACATGATGCAATAAATTGCCTTTCAAAATGACGACATTCTTTGTGAGTTTCAGTTACTTTCTAAAAATAATTTAACTGCAATTGTGTTTGGATAAAAACACCGAATTTCGTCTCATCCAGAACATGTATATATACATGAAAATTCTATTTTTATTTAATTTTATTTTTAAAAATTTTCCTTCTCTTTTGTTGCAGGCGGAAGTCCAGGAGGCAGTAAGTAAAAGAATTTTTTTTTTGTTTTACGCAAAAAGAATGATTTTATAATGATCGCAAATTTTTCTTTGTCCATCAGATTTCAAATATCTTTATCTTTTTCCTTATCTGGAAATATTCAATATTCATTTTCTGAAGAGTCACTGCTACTTTCTGTTAAAATTCATGAAGTCTTCCCATTAAAAAGATTTTTAATGAAAAATGGGCCTCTCAAGTCCGGTACCTGTTATCGGTCTTTCCAGTATTCATAAGTCTTTCCTTCATTAAACTTTAGCTCGACGTATTGTTGAAGGTCAACATCTTGGCTCTGTCACTTACAAGTGCTGTTCATTTATTTACACATTTTAGGGATCAAGGCAAGAGAAGATGACGACTGACACTGCATTTAAATTTTTGAAGATTATATTTCTCAGGGAATATTTAAGAGGAAGGGAGTTTCAATGTCGGGAAGTGCGAGAGACGCTGTTGGAGTAGAAGAGGCGGTCACATTTAACTGTTTCAACAGTAAGTAAAAGGGTGGGACTGAGATGCCGATCTAGTAGTACGCTTAAATTCATGCAGTTGGGGCACTAGTGAAAATAGCTCGCCAGAACAGATGCCATGAAAATATTTTTAGAAAAGACAGAGAGAAGCTGCTTCACGTCTGTGAGAAAGTGACTGAAGTCGGGATGCAAAGCCACGGCCGATCACATTACATATCCGTCTTTGGATTTTGTCGTGAACCTCGAGATGAATAGGAGCACCAGACCATATATAGCAACAGTATACCATGCATGGACAAATGATAGATGTGAAGGATGGACACAGACGAGAAAAAAACCTTCTGACGCGACACAGAGAACCAACTTTCCTTGCAGTAGATGCAGCTATTGGTTCAATGTAGTGGTTCCACCTCAGGTCAATGGAAAACGTGAGACCAAGAATGCGCAGTGAGTCGTGGAGCTGAGCATCAACCATGCTGATAGGAGACAAGGAACTTTCTCTATGGTTGCTAAACGGTTTCATTTTGGATGCATTATTTCCTAGTTCCCAGTCAACCATAGTTCAGGAATATTTTTATTTATTTTTATTTGATAAATTATTCAAGTTATTGCCTCAAAACACTGTTCTGCCATCCGCTTACTGAATCTCGGCTCGAATTTAAAGAATAGAAAATTGTTCTTTGTCTAACAGATTTCAAATATCTGATATTTAGTGGAGTTGGTCCTTAAATTACGAAAAGGTGGTATTCAAATATTTATAGTAATATAAGCCGTTTCCTCATGTGGACATATTCGATGTTTATTGACCTAGCATTTAGTGGTAGCTACAGTTTATATTTCTAAAATCTTTATATTAAAAACTAGCAGCATGGGCCAGCGTTGCTCGTGCTTGATTCAAAAATCGTACGACTCATACAGTTATCACTTGACTTAAAATATTTTTGCCAAGTAAAGCCAACACCCACCGCCCCACGAGGGTTATATATGGCACAAAGCCGGGTTTAACGTGGTATTTCCGAGCCCGTAGGCTCGTCCAAAAATATTCCCCATTTGAAACCGCATAAGTGGGTTCAGGGTCAATCAATCACGACGAAGAGCAGAGAGTTACACTGTTACTTAGCAAATATTTTTGTCAAGTGGTATTTACTGGACTCCCACGGGGTCAGGATGTGACACAAGGTCGGTTTATACTGGGAGTCCCGAGTGTTTCCACTCTAGGGCCACTGGTCCAAAACTGGTCATAGCATGTCCAAGCTGGTCAGAGCTTAGTCAAAGCTGGTCATGGCTTGTCGTAGCTGGTCCAGGCCGGAGCCGGTCCAAGCTAGTCGTAGCCGTGTTCGAATCTCAGCCAAAGGTCGAGAAACGATCCAAATTTGTCAAAAGGCGAAATTCGCTAAGTGGTATTTTCTTGACTCCCACAGGGTCTTGATGTGACACAAGGTCGGTTTAGCGTGGGAGACCCGAGTGTTTCCATTCTAGGGCCACTGGTCCAAAACTCTTTATAGCATGTCCAAGCTGGTCAGAGCTTAGTCAAAGCTGGTCATGGCTTGTCGTAGCTGGTTCGGCCGGAGCCGGTCCAAGCTAGTCGTAGCCGTGTTCGAATCTCAGCCAAAGGTCGAGAAACGATCCAAATTTGTCAAAAGGCGAAATTCGCTAAGTGGTATTTACTTGACTCCCACGGGTCAGGATGTGACACAAGGTCGGTTAAGCGTGGGAGACCCGAGTGATTCCACTCTAGGGCCACTGATCCAAAACTGGTCATAGCATGTCCAAGCAGGTCAGAGCTTAGTCAAAGCTGGTCATGGCTTGCCGTAGCTGGTCCAGGCCGGAAACGGTCCAAGCTAGTCGTAGCCGTGTTCGATTCTCAGCCAAAGGTCGAGAAACTATCCAAATTTGTTAAAAGGCGAAATTCGCTAAGTGGTATTTACTTGACTCCCACGGGGTCAGGATGTGACACAAGGTCGGTTTAGCGTGGGAGACCCGAGTGTTTCCACTCTAGGGCCACTGGTCCAAAACTGGTCATTGCATGTCCAAGCTGGTCAGAGCTTAGTCAAAGCTGGTCATGGCTTGTCGTAGCTGGTCCAGGCCGGAGCCGGTCCAAGCTAGTCGTAGCCGTGTTCGAATCTCAGCCAAAGGTCGAGAAACGATCCAAATTTGTCAAAAGGCGAAATTCGCTAAGTGGTATTTACTTGACTCACACGGGGTCAGGATGAGACACAAGGTCGGTTTAGCGTGGGAGACCCGAGTGTTTACACTCTAGTTCCACTGGTCCAAAACTGGTCATAGCATGTCCAAGCTGGTCAGATCTTAGTCAAAGCTGGTCATGGCTTGTCGTAGCTTGTCCAGGCCGGAGCCGGTTCAAGCTAGTCGTAGCCGTGTTCGAATCTCAGTCAAAGGTCGAGAAACGATCCACATTTGTCAAAGGAGAAATTCGCTAAGTGGTATTTACTTGACTCCCACAGGGTCTGGATGTGACAAAAGGTCGGTTTAGCGTGGGAGACCCGAGTGTTTCCACTCTTGGGCCACTGGTCCGGAACTCGTCATAGCATGTCCAAGCTGGTCAGAGCTTAGTCAAAGCTGGTCATGGCTTGTCGTAGCTGGTCCAAGCTAGTCGTAGCCGTGTTCGAATCTAAGCCAAAGGTTGAGAAACGATCCAAATTTGTCAAAAGGCGAAATTCGCCATGACATTCGCTAAGTGGTATTTGGTCACTTAGAAAGCCAACCGGAGCCGGTCCAAGCTAGTTCGAATCTCACACAAAGGTCGAGAAACGATTGGGGGTTTGGATTTACACACAAGGTCAGGATTTAGCGTCGGAGAAGGTCGGTGTTTCCCAAGATGGTCTCTAGTACCACTGGTCTAAAACTGGTCATAGCATGTCCAAGCTGGTCAGAGCCGTGTTCGAATCTCAACAAAGTTCAAAACGATCTGGTCATGGCTTGTCGTAGCTGGTCCAGGCCGGAGCCGGTCCAAGGTCTAGTCGTAGCCGTGTTCGAATCTCAGGCCAAAGGTCGAGAAACGATTCAAATTTTTCAACAGGCGAAATTCGCTAAGTGTTATTTACTTGACTCCCACGGGGTCAGGATGTGACACAAGATCGTTTTAGCGTGGGAGTCCCGAGTGTTTCCACTCTAGGGCCACTGGTCCAAAACTGGTCATAGCATGTCCAAGCTGGTCAGAGCTTAGTCAAAGCTGGCCATGGCTTGTCGTAGCTGGTCCAGGCCGGAGCCGGTCCAAGCTAGTCGTAGCCGTGATCGAATCTCAGCCAAAGGTCGAGAAACGATCCAAATTTCTCAAAAGGCGAAATTCGCTAAGTGGTATTTACTTGACTCCAACGGGGTCAGGATGTGACACAAGGTCGGTTTAGTGTGGGAGACCCGAGTGTTTCCACTCTAGGGCCACTGGTCCAAAACTTGTCATAGCTTGTCCAAGCTGGTCAGAGCTTAGTCAAAGCTGGTCATGGCTTGTCGTAGCTGGTCCAGGCCGGAGCCGGTCCAAGATGGTCGTAGCCGTGTTCGAATCTCAGCCAAAGTTCAAGAAACGATCCAAATTTGTCAAAAGGCGAAATTCGCTATGTGGTATTTACTTGACTGTCACGGGGTCAGGATGTGACGCAAGGTCGGTTTAGCGTGGGAGACCCGAGTGTTTCCACTCTAGGGCCACTGGTCCAAAACTGGTCATAGCATGTCCAAGCTGGTCAGAGCTTAGTCAAAACTGGTCATGGCTTGTCGTAGCTGGTCCAGGCCGGAGCCGGTCCAAGCTAGTCGTAGCCGTGATCGAATCTCAGCCAAAGCTCGAGAAACGATCCAAATTTGTCAAAAGGGAAATTAACTAGGTGGTAATTCGCTAAGACCCGAGTGTATTTACTTGAACTCACACGGGGTCAGGATGTCACACAAGTCGGTTTAGCGTGGGAGAAAGGTCGAGAAACTCCAAATTTCTCAAAAGTGTTTATTTACTTGACTCCACTCAGGGGCCACTGGTCCAAAACTGGCCATAACATGTCCAAGCTGGTCAGAGCTTAGTCAAAGCTGGTCATGGATTGTCGTTTTAGCCGTGTTTCCTCCTGAGTCCTGAGCTGGTCCTGGTCCAAGCTGGTCAGCCGCTCCAAGATGGTCGTAGCCGTTCGAATCACAGCCAAAGGTCGAGAAACGATCCAAATTTGTCAAAAGGCGAAATTCGCTAAGTGGTATTTACTTGACTCTTACAGGGTTTGGATGTGACACAAGTTCGGTTAAGCGTGGGAGACCCGAGTGTTTCCACTCTAGTACCACTGGTCTAAAACTGGTCATAGCATGTCCAAGCTGGTCAGAGCTTAGTCAAAGCTGGTCATGGATTGTCGTAGCTGGTCCAGGCCGGAGCCGGTCCAAGCTAGTCGTAGCCGTGTTCGAATCTCAGCCAAAGGTCGAGAAACGATTCAAATTTTTCAACAGGCGAAATTCGCTAAGTGTTATTTACTTGACTCCCACGGGGTCAGGATGTGACACAAGATCGTTTTAGCGTGGGAGTCCCGAGTGTTTCCACTCTAGGGCCACTGGTCCAAAACTGGACATAGCATGTCCAAGCTGGTCAGAGCTTAGTCAAAACTGGTCATGGATTTTCGTAGCTGGTCCAGGCCGGAGCCGGTCCAAGCTAGTCGTAGCCGTGTTCGAATCTCAGCCAAAGGTCGAGAAACGATCCAAATTTGTCAAAAGGCGAAATTCGCTAAGTGGTATTTACTTGACTCCCACAGGGTCTGGATGTGACACAAGGTCGGTTTAGCGTGGGAGACCCGAGTGTTTCCACTCTAGGGCCACTGGTCCAAAACTGGTCATAACATGTCCAAGCTGGTCAGAGCTTAGTCAAAGCTGGTCATGGATTGTCGTAGATGGTCCTGGCCGCATCCGGTCCAAGATGGTCGTAGCCGTGTTCGAATCACAGCCAAAGGTCGAGAAACGATCCAAATTTGTCAAAAGGCGAAATTCGCTAAGTGGTATTTACTTGACTCTTACAGGGTTTGGATGTGACACAAGTTCGGTTTAGCGTGGGAGACCCGTGTGTTTCCACTCTAGGGCCACTGGTCCAAAACTGGTCATAGCATGTCCAAGCTGGTCAGAGCTTAGTCAAAGCTGGTCATGGCTTGTTGTAGCTTGTCCAGGCCGGAGCCGGTCCAAGCTAGTCGTAGCCGTGTTCGAATCTCAGCCAAAGGTCGAGAAACGATCCAAATTTGTCAAAAGGCGAAATTCGCTAAGTGGTATTTACTTGACTCCCACAGGGTCTGGATGTGTCACAAGGTCGGTTTAGCCTGGGAGACTCGAGTGTTTCTACTCTAGGAGGACTGGTCCAAAACTGGTCATAGCATGTCCAAGCAAGTCAGAGCTTAGTCAAAGCTGGTCATGGCTTGTCGTAGCTGGTCCAGGCCGGAGCCGGTCCAAGCTAGTCGTAGCCGTGATCGAATCTCAGCCAAAGGTCGAGAAACAATCCAAATTTGTCAAAAGGCGAAATTCGCTAAGTGGTATTTACTTGACTCCCATGTGGTCAGGATTTGACACAAGGTCGGTTTAGCGTAGGAGACCCGAGTGTTTCCACTCTAGGGCCACTGCTCCGAAACTGGTCATAGCATGTCCAAGCTGGTCAGAGCTTAGTCAAAGCTGGTCATGGATTGTCGTAGCTGGTCCAAGCTAGTCGTAGCCGTGTTCGAATCTCAGCCAAAGATCGAGAAACGATCCAAATTTGTCAAAAGGCGAAATTCGCTAAGACTCCACGGGGTGGTATTTAATTGGAGACTCCACACGGGGTCCAAAATCATTACAGAACGATGGTCAGACACAAGGTCGGTTTAGCGTGGTCCAGGCCGCAGCTCGAGTGTTTCCAATCTAGAGAAACACTTTGTCCAAAACTGGTCATAGCATGTCCAAGCTGGTCAGAGCCCGAGTCAAAGGGCCACTGGTCAAAACTGGATTGTCGTAGCTGGTCCAGGATTGGAGCCGGTCCAAGCTAGTCGTAGCCGTGTTCGAATCTCAGCCAAAGGTCGAGAAACGATCCAAATTTGTCAAAAGGCGAAATTCGCTAAGTGGTATTTACTTGACTCCCACGGGGTCAGGATGTGACACAAGGTCGTTTTAGCGTGGGAGTCCCGAGTGTTTCCACTCTAGGGCCACTGGTCCAAAACTGGTCATAGCTTTTCCAAGCTGGTCAGAGCTTAGTCAAAGCTGGTCATGGCTTGTCGTAGCTGGTCCAGGCCGGAGCCGGTCCAAGCTAGTCGTAGCCGTGTTCGAATCTCAGCCAAAGATCAAGAAACGATCCAAATTTGTCAAAAGGCGAAATTCGCTAAGTGGTATTTACTTGACTCCCACGGGGTCAGGATGTGACACAAGGTCGGTTTAGCGTGGAAATTTGACAACAGGCGAAATTCGCCAAGTTGCTTGGTGGAAGAAATCGGCTGTGTATTTTTTTTGTTGTCTTTCTGCTATTTACGCACCCTACAAAAAGAATTAGAACTTTATACAAATATGGCATCTCCACATCTTCCTGTCCCTTGTAGCTCTTTTTGTCTTTTTGCTATATTTATGTCGGCTCCGGTTAGCATCGTAGTCAGGTTGACAATATCTTTTGATTGATGACTAAAAATTAACTTCCTCATTTTGACTGTACACATGGGTTTCATTCGGACACTAGGTGTATTTAAAGTAGTTTCCGGTTATTATTTTTAGTTAGGAGGACTTGTGTATGATTAGGTTTCATTTGTTTTACTTTTTGTGCATCGTCCTCTGAAAAAACAAACAAACGCTGAGTCACTGGAAGTTAACGACATTCGTTCTGTTTTGGACGTTTGAGTAGCCGACAGTAACTTCCGTCCGGGTGCGATAACCTTACTCGTGCTTTCAAATTGAATTCGTGCAAAAAGAGTTGTGTTTTTCCAATTTTTGGCACTGTCAAAACCACCGCCGGGTAATTTTATGTAGTCCTGTGGATTTTTGTCGAAATCGGTTGAAAAATGTAGGAAATACGATCCCATATATAAACGTACAGACACACACACAATCTGCGTTTTATAATAAGTAAGATTTCCAGAAGATCTATATATAATGATATTCCAGATGATTCTATTTTTATTTTTTTGCAGATCCATTTTCGAAACAAGATCTAGGTAAGTATAATACAACATTTCTTTTCATTTTAGATAAATATCTGAATAAAAAAAGGATAGTAAATTTTACGGTCCTGTTGATCTTAAATATCTGATGTTTATGGCATCAAAATTTCGACAGTGTTTAATCCGAGCGTTACACTCACATTCGCCATAACACTCTTCTTCTTTTATGCGCCTTGCTCCTTCAGGATGCAGGCTCTCCACATCTTCCTGTCCCTTGTATCTCCTTTTGTCTTTTTGCTATTTACGCACCCTACAAAAAGAATTAGAATTTTATATTTTCTTCTATGAATCAACATTATGGCATCGAAAATATTAATATACAAATATGGCATTTGTAAATTGGGTGTTCGATTTTCTATCTTTCATAAGATAAGTAATAAATTGATGCCCCAAATTACTAAATTGTTTATTCCAGCTCTCAATAAAAATAATCTCGCTGGAAGGTTTGTTTACGACAAAAACTCGAATTTAAAGAATAGCAAAATTTTCATTGACCAGCAGATTTCAAATATCTCATGTTTATCGTAGTTTCTCTTCAAATTACGACATATTGGAGGTGGTATTCAAATGTTTAGTAGTGTTCATCAAGCATGTTTCGCGCTGCTTTCCTCTTTCCCTCAATCTGTCCTGTGAGTATCAGATTTTCCAAGCCTTCCTTCCACATTACATGCCCCAGAAATTTTAGAAATTTCCAGAATATATTTATATATTGATATTCCGGATAATATTTATCTATTTTTTTACAGATCCACATTTGAGACCAGATTTTGGTAAGTATATTATAGCATTGCTTTTCAGTTTCTACGAATATCCGAATAAAAAGAAGCGTAAATTTTTCTTTCTAGCTGATCTCAAATACGGTTATTTTATATCTTCGGGGATTCTTTAATTGCGATATTTTGGAGACGGCGGCCAGATTCTTTGATCAATTCGACAGTGTTTGATCCGAACGAAGCACGCATGTTCGCCACTATCATCTTCTTTTATGTGACGTTCCCGCTCAGAACGTAAGCCCTCCACATCTTCCTGTCTCTTGTAGATAAAAAATCCATCTGTTATTTCGCCACACACTAACCCCTCAAAAGAACTAGAACTTTCTATTTTCTTCTATGAATCAACACTATGGCATCGAAAATATAAATATATAGATATGGTGGTTATGAATTGGGTGTTTGTTTTTCTTTTCCTAAAAAAGTTAAGTAACAGACAGATGCCCCAAAATACTAAGTTGTTTATCCCAGCTCTCAATAAAAAATAATTTCGTTGGAAGGCTTGTTTACGACAAAAACACGGATTTAAAGAATAGCAAAATTTTGATTATCCAGGAGATTTTAAATATCTCATGTTTATCGTAGATGCTCTTCAACTTACGACATTTTGGAGGTGGTATTCGAATGTTTATGTTAATATAAACCGCTTCCTCATGTGGACATATTCGACTGTCATTGACCTAGCAGTCAGTGGTAGCTACTGTTTATATTTCTAAAATCTTTTATATTAAAAATTCCTGAAGATCTCTATATAATGATATTCCAGATGATTTTTTTTTTTTTGTTTTAACAGATACATTATTGGAAGCAGATCTAGGTAAGTATAATATAACATTTCTTTTCAGTTTATGGAAATATTTGAATAAAAATGGATAGTAAATTTTACTCTTTTGTTGATCCCTAATATCTGATGTTTATCTTCATGGGTTCTTCAAATACGGTATTTTGGAGATGGCATCCAGATTTTTAGAAAATTTCAAGAGTGTTTGATCTGAGCATCGCAAACACATTCACCATAACACTCTTCTACCTTTAAGTCTTTTCCCTTCAGGACGTAAATGTTAATGGCACTCCACATCTTCCTGCTACTTCTAGCGCGTTACGTCTTTCTGTTATTTCTCCCAAACCCTGTTTTATCAAACATTTACTAGAATTCATCAAGCATGTTTCGCGCTGCTTTCCTCTTTCCCTCATTATGTCCTGTGAGTATCAGATTTTCCAAGCCTTCCTTCAACATTGCATGCCCCAGAAATTTTAGAAATTTCCAGAATATATTTATATATTGATATTCCGGATAATTTTTATTTATTTTTTTACAGATCCACATTTGAGACCAGATTTTGGTAAGTATATTATAGCATTGCTTTTCAGTTTCTACAAATATCCGAATAAAAAGAAGCGTAAATTTTTCTTTCTTGCTGATCTCAATTACCGTTTTTTTTTATCTTTGGGGATTCTTTAATTACGATATTTTGGAGATGGCAGCCAAATTCTTTGATCATTTCGACAGTCTTTGATCCGAACGAAGCACGCATCTTCGCACTATCATCTTCTTTTATGTGACGTTCCCGCTCAGAACGTAAGCCCTCCACATCTTCCCGACTCTTGTAGATAAATAATCTAATTGTTATTTCGCCACAGCCTAACCCCTCCATGGAAATAGAACTTTTTATTTTCTTCTATGAATCAACATTATGGCATCGAAAATATTAATATACAAATATGGTATTTGTAAATTGGGTCTTCGCTTTCAAAAGATAAGTAATAAACTGATGTCCCAAATTAATAAATTCTTTATTTCAGCTCTCAATAAAAAATAATTTCGCTGGAAGGTGTGTTTACGACAAAAACTCGAATTTAAAGAAGAGCCAAATTTTCATTGACCAGTAGATTTCAAATATCTCATGTTTATCGTAGTTTCTCTTCAAATTACGACATATTGGAGGTGGTATTCAAATGTTTAGTAGTGTTCATCAAGCATGTTTCGCGCTGCTTTCCTCTTTCCCTCAATCTGTCCTGTGAGTATCAGATTTTCCAAGCCTTCCTTCCACATTACATGCCCCAGAAATTTTAGAAATTTCCAGAATATATTTATATATTGATATTCCGGATAATTTTTATTTATTTTTTTACAGATCCACATTTGAGACCAGATTTTGGTAAGTATATTATAGCATTGCTTTTCAGTTTCTACGAATATCCGAATAAAAAGAAGCGTAAATTTTTCTTTCTAGCTGATCTCAAATACGGTTATTTTATATCTTCGGGGATTCTTTAATTGCGATATTTTGGAGACGGCGGCCAGATTCTTTGATCAATTCGACAGTGTTTGATCCGAACGAAACACGCATGTTCGCCACTATCATCTTCTTTTATGTGACGTTCCCGCTCAGAACGTAAGCCCTCCACATCTTCCTGTCTCTTGTAGATAAAAAATCCATCTGTTATTTCGCCACACACTAACCCCTCAAAAGAACTAGAACTTTCTATTTTCTTCTATGAATCAACACTATGGCATCGAAAATATAAATATATAGATATGGTGGTTATGAATTGGGTGTTTGTTTTTCTTTTCCTAAAAAGTTAAGTAACAGACAGATGCCCCAAAATACTAAGTTGTTTATCCCAGCTCTCAATAAAAAATAATTTCGTTGGAAGGCTTGTTTACGACAAAAACACGGATTTAAAGAATAGCAAAATTTTGATTATCCAGGAGATTTTAAATATCTCATGTTTATCGTAGATGCTCTTCAACTTACGACATTTTGGAGGTGGTATTCGAATGTTTATGTTAATATAAACCGCTTCCTCATGTGGACATATTCGACTGTCATTGACCTAGCAGTCAGTGGTAGCTACTGTTTATATTTCTAAAATCTTTATATTAAAAATTCCCTGAAGATCTCTATATAATGATATTCCAGATGATTCTTTTTTTTTTTTGTTTTAACAGATACATTATTGGAAGCAGATCTAGGTAAGTATAATATAACATTTCTTTTCAGTTTATGGAAATATTTGAATAAAAATGGATAGTAAATTTTACTCTCTTGTTGATCCCAAATATCTGATGTTTATCTTCATGGGTTCTTCAAATACGGTATTTTGGAGATGGCATCCAGATTTTTAGAAAATTTCAAGCGTGTTTAATCTGAGCATCGCACACACATTCACCATAACACTCTTCTACCTTTAAGTCTTTTCCATTCAGGACGTAAATGTTAATGGCACTCCACATCTTCCTGCTACTTCTAGCGCGTTACGTCTTTCTGTTATTTCTCCCAAACCCTGTTTTATCAAACATTTACTAGAATTCATCAAGCATGTTTCGCGCTACTTTCCTCTTTCCCTCATTATGTCCTGTGAGTATCAGATTTTCCAAGCCTTCCTTCAACATTACATGCCCCAGAAATTTTAGAAATTTCCAGAATATATTTATATATTGATATTCCGGATAATTTTTATTTATTTTTTTACAGATCCACATTTGAGACCAGATTTTGGTAAGTATATTATAGCATTGCTTTTCAGTTTCTACAAATATCCGAATAAAAAGAAGCGTAAATTTTTCTTTCTAGCTGATCTCAAATACGGTTATTTTATATCTTCGGGGATTCTTTAATTGCGATATTTTGGAGACGGCGGCCAGATTCTTTGATCAATTCGACAGTGTTTGATCCGAACGAAGCACGCATGTTCGCCACTATCATCTTCTTTTATGTGACGTTCCCGCTCAGAACGTAAGCCCTCCACATCTTCCTGTCTCTTGTAGATAAAAAATCCATCTGTTATTTCGCCACACACTAACCCCTCAAAAGAACTAGAACTTTCTATTTTCTTCTATGAATCAACACTATGGCATCGAAAATATAAATATATAGATATGGTGGTTATGAATTGGGTGTTTGTTTTTCTTTTCCTAAAAAGTTAAGTAACAGACAGATGCCCCAAAATACTAAGTTGTTTATCCCAGCTCTCAATAAAAAATAATTTCGTTGGAAGGCTTGTTTACGACAAAAACCCGGATTTAAAGAATAGCAAAATTTTGATTATCCAGGAGATTTTAAATATCTCATGTTTATCGTAGATGCTCTTCAACTTACGACATTTTGGAGGTGGTATTCGAATGTTTATGGTAATATAAACCGCTTCCTCATGTGGACATATTCGACTGTCATTGACCTAGCAGTCAGTGGTAGCTACTGTTTATATTTCTAAAATCTTTATATTAAAAATTCCCTGAAGATCTCTATATAATGATATTCCAGATGATTCTTTTTTTTTTTTTGTTTTAACAGATACATTATTGGAAGCAGATCTAGGTAAGTATAATATAACATTTCTTTTCAGTTTATGGAAATATTTGAATAAAAATGGATAGTAAATTTTACTCTTTTGTTGATCCCAAATATCTGATGTTTATCTTCATGGGTTCTTCAAATACGGTATTTTGGAGATGGCATCCAGATTTTTAGAAAATTTCAAGAGTGTTTGATCTGAGCATCGCACACACATTCACCATAACACTCTTCTACCTTTAAGTCTTTTCCCTTCAGGACGTAAATGTTAATGGCACTCCACATCTTCCTGCTACTTCTAGCGCGTTACGTCTTTCTGTTATTTCTCCCAAACCCTGTTTTACCATACATTTACTAGAATTCATCAAGCATGTTTCGCGCTACTTTCCTCTTTCCCTCATTATGTCCTGTGAGTATCAGATTTTCCAAGCCTTCCTTCAACATTGCATGCTCCAGAAATTTTAGAAATTTCCAGAATATATTTATATATTGATATTCCGGATAATATTTATCTATTTTTTTACAGATCCACATTTGAGACCAGATTTTGGTAAGTATATTATAGCATTGCTTTTCAGTTTCTACAAATATCCGAATAAAAAGAAGCGTAAATTTTTCTTTCTAGCTGATCTCAAATACGGTTATTTTATATCTTCGGGGATTCTTTAATTGCGATATTTTGGAGACGGCGGCCAGATTCTTTGATCAATTCGACAGTGTTTGATCCGAACGAAGCACGCATGTTCGCCACTATCATCTTCTTTTATGTGACGTTCCCGCTCAGAACGTAAGCCCTCCACATCTTCCTGTCTCTTGTAGATAAAAAATCCATCTGTTATTTCGCCACACACTAACCCCTCAAAAGAACTAGAACTTTCTATTTTCTTCTATGAATCAACACTATGGCATCGAAAATATAAATATATAGATATGGTGGTTATGAATTGGGTGTTTGTTTTTCTTTTCCTAAAAAGTTAAGTAACAGACAGATGCCCCAAAATACTAAGTTGTTTATCCCAGCTCTCAATAAAAAATAATTTCGTTGGAAGGCTTGTTTACGACAAAAACACGGATTTAAAGAATAGCAAAATTTTGATTATCCAGGAGATTTTAAATATCTCATGTTTATCGTAGATGCTCTTCAACTTACGACATTTTGGAGGTGGTATTCGAATGTTTATGTTAATATAAACCGCTTCCTCATGTGGACATATTCGACTGTCATTGACCTAGCAGTCAGTGGTAGCTACTGTTTATATTTCTAAAATCTTTATATTAAAAATTCCCTGAAGATCTCTATATAATGATATTCCAGATGATTCTTTTTTTTTTTTGTTTTAACAGATACATTATTGGAAGCAGATCTAGGTAAGTATAATATAACATTTCTTTTCAGTTTATGGAAATATTTGAATAAAAATGGATAGTAAATTTTACTCTTTTGTTGATCCCAAATATCTGATGTTTATCTTCATGGGTTTTTCAAATACGGTATTTTGGAGATGGCATCCAGATTTTTAGAAAATTTCAAGAGTGTTTGATCTGAGCATCGCACACACATTCACCATAACACTCTTCTACCTTTAAGTCTTTTCCCTTCAGGACGTAAATGTTAATGGCACTCCACATCTTCCTGCTACTTCTAGCGCGTTACGTCTTTCTGTTATTTCTCCCAAACCCTGTTTTACCATACATTTACTAGAATTCATCAAGCATGTTTCGCGCTACTTTCCTCTTTCCCTCATTATGTCCTGTGAGTATCAGATTTTCCAAGCCTTCCTTCAACATTACATGCCCCAGAAATTTTAGAAATTTCCAGAATATATTTATATATTGATATTCCGGATAATTTTTATTTATTTTTTTACAGATCCACATTTGAGACCAGATTTTGGTAAGTATATTATAGCATTGCTTTTCAGTTTCTACAAATATCCGAATAAAAAGAAGCGTAAATTTTTCTTTCTTGCTGATCTCAATTACCGTTTTTTTTTATCTTTGGGGATTCTTTAATTACGATATTTTGGAGATGGCAGCCAAATTCTTTGATCATTTCGACAGTGTTTGATCCGAACGAAGCACGCATGTTCGCACTATCATCTTCTTTTATGTGACGTTCCCGCTCAGAACGTAAGCCCTCCACATCTTCCCGACTCTTGTAGATAAATAATCTAATTGTTATTTCGCCACAGCCTAACCCCTCCATGGAAATAGAACTTTTTATTTTCTTCTATGAATCAACATTATGGCATCGAAAATGTTAATATACAAATATGGTATTTGTAAATTGGGTCTTCGCTTTCAAAAGATAAGTAATAAACTGATGTCCCAAATTAATAAATACTTTATTTCAGCTCTCAATAAAAAATAATTTCGCTGGAAGGTGTGTTTACGACAAAAACTCGAATTTAAAGAATAGCCAAATTTTCATTGACCAGTAGATTTCAAATATCTCATGTTTATCCTAGTTTCTCTTCAAATTACGACATATTGGAGGTGGTATTCAAATGTTTACTAGTGTTCATCAAGCATGTTTCGGGCTGCTTTCCTCTTTCCCTCAATCTGTCCTGTGAGTATCAGATTTTCCAAGCATTACTTCCACATTACATGTCCCAGATATTTTAGAAATTTCCAGAATATATTTATATATTGATATTCCAGATAATTTGTATTTATTTACTTTTTTACAGATACACTTTTGAGACCAGATTTTGGTAAGTACATTATAGCATGGCTTTTCAGTTTATATAATAAGAGATTAAGAAAAATAAATAATGAGAAAATAGAACCGTTATAACAACAGATTGGAATAAAATTTGCCAAATGGACAAAAATAACGTTCTTGTCTTATAGAATTATTAGACACAATAAGAGATTAAGAAAAATAACTAATAATACAATAAACTATTCTAACAATAGACTGTAATCAAAAGTTATGTGACCGATAGATTTATTTCCTACCGTAGATCTTATTAGACACAATAAGAGATTAAGAAAAAATAATAATAATAATAATCAAAATAAACTATTCTAACAATAGACTGTAATCAAAATACAATAAACTTTCTATAGTGACCGATAGATGATTCGTTCCTACCGTAGATCTTATTAGACACAATAAGAGATTAAGAAAAATAACTAATAATACAATAAACTATTCTAACAATAGACTGTAATCAAAGTTATGTGACCGATAGATGATTCGTTTCCTACCGTAGATCTTATTAGACACAATAAGAGATTAAGAAAATCTAATAATACAATAAACTATTCTAAGAATAAGACTGTAATCAAAGTTAATAATAGATGATTCGTTCCTAATACAAATTAAATTTAAGAAAATAACTATTCTAATAAACTAATAGACTGTAATCAAAGTTATGTGACCGATAGAAGATTCGTTCCTACCGTAGATCTTATTAGACACAATAAGAGATTAAGAAAAATAACTAATAATACAATAAACTATTCTAACAATAGACTGTAATCAAAGTTATGTGACCGATAGATGATTCGTTTGTTCTTATTAGACACAATAAGAGATTAAGAAAAATAACTAATAATTAAACTATTCTAACAATAGACTGTAATCAAAGTTATAGATGATTCGTTTCCTACCGTAGATCTTTATTAGACACAATAAGAGATTAAGAAAATAACTAATAATACAATAAACTATTCTAACAATAGACTGTAATCAAAGTTATGTGACCGATAGAAGATTCAATAAACTATTCTAATACAATAAACTATTCTAAGAATAGACTGTAATCAAAGTTATGTGACCGATAGAAGATTTATTCCTATTTCTTATTAGACACAATAAGAGATTAAGAAAAATAACCTATTCTAACAATAGACTGTAATCAAAGCATGTGACCGATAGATGATTCGTTCCTACCGTAGATCTTATTAGACACAATAAGAGATTAAGAAAATAACTAATAATACAATAAACTATTCTAACAATAGACTGTAATCAAAGTTATGTGACCGATATTAGACAGATTAAGAAAAATAACTAATAATACAATAAACTATTCTAACAATAGACTGTAATCAAAGTTATGTGACCGATAGATGATTCGTTCCTACCGTAGATCTTATTAGACACAATAAGAGATTAAGAAAAATAACTAATAATTATTCTAACAATAGACTGTAATCAAAGTTATGTGACCGATAGATGATTCGTTCCTACCGTAGATCTTAAACACAATAAGAGATTAAGAAAAATAACTAATAATACAATAAACTATTCTAAATAATAGACTTCAAAGTTATGTTACCGATAGATGATTCGTTCCTATAGACTTATTAGACACAATCAAATTAAGAAAATTAATAATACAATAAACCTAACAATAGACTGTTCAAAGTTATGTACCGATAGATGATTCGTTCTTCTTATTAGACACAATAAGAGATTAAGAAAAAATAACTAATAATACAATAAACTATTCTAAGAATAGACTGTAATCAAAGTTATGTGACCGATAGATGATTCGTTCCTAATACAAGAAACCGTAGATCTTATTAGACACAAGAGAAAGAAAATAAGAGATAATAAAATAAACTAAAGAATAATAATCAAAGTAAACTATTCGTTCCTACCGTAATCTTATTAGACACAATAAGAGATAGAAAAATAACTGTTCTATCAATCAAAGTTATGTGACCGATAGATGATTCATTCCTACCGAAGATCTTATTAGACACAATAAGAGATTAAGAAAAATAACTAATAATACAATAAACTATTCTAAGAATAGACTGTAATCAAAGTTATGTGACCGATAGATGATTCGTTCCTACCGTAGATCTTATTAGACACAATAAGAGATTAAGAAAAATAACTAATAATACAATAAACTATTCTAAAAATAGACTGATAATCAAAGTTATGTGACCGATAGAAGATTTAAGTTAACTACCGTAGATCTTATTATAGACTGTAATCAATAAGAGATTTCGTTCCTAGAAAATAACAATAATTAATACAATAAACTATTCTAACAATAGACTGTAATCAAAGTTATGTGACCGATAGATGATTCGTTCCTACCGTAGATCTTATTAGACACAATAAGAGATTAAGAAAAATAACTAATAATACAATAAACTATTCTAACAATAGACTGTAATCAAAGTTATGTGACCGATAGATGATTCGTTCCTACCGTAGATCTTATTAGACACAATAAGAGATTAAGAAAATAACTAATAATACAATAAACTATTCTAAGAATAGACTGTAATCAAAGTAATAGATGATTCGTTCCTACCGTAGATCTTATAGACACAATAAGAGATTAAGAAAATAATAAGATTTCTTAGACTGTACCGTGTGACCGATAGATGATTCTTATCCTACCGTAGATCTTATTAGACACAATAAGAGATTAAGAAAAATAACTAATAATACAATAAACTATTCTAACAATAGACTGTAATCAAAAACTATGTGACCGATAGATGATTCGTTCCTACCGTAGATCTTATTAGACACAATAAACTATTCTAAGATTAAGAAAAATAACTAATAATACAATAAACTATTCTAACAATAGACTGTAATCAAAGTTATGTGACCGATAGATGATTCAAAGTTATGTTAAGAAAATAACCGATTCTAACAATAGACTTTCAAAGTTCCGATAGATGATTCGTTCCTACCGTAGATCTTATTAGACACAATAAGAGATTAAGAAAAATAACTAATAATACAATAAACTATTCTAAGAATAGACTGTAATCAAAGTTATGTGACCGATAGATGATTCGTTCCTACCGTAGATCTTATTAGACACAATAAGAGATTAAGAAAAATAACTAATAATACAATAAACTATTCTAACAATAGACTGTAATCAAAGTTATGTGACCGATAGATGATTCATTCTTACCGTAAGAATAGACTGTAATCAAAGTATGTGACCGATAATATTCGTTCCTACCGAGATTTATTAGAAAATAAGAGATAACTAATAATACAATAAACTAAACTATTCTAAGAATAGACTGTAATCAAAGTTATTGACAAAATAACACGATAGATGATTCAAAGTTCCTACCGTAGATCTTATTAGACACAATAAGAGATTAAGAAAAATAACTAATAATACAATAAACTAAAAACTGTAATCAAAGTTATGTGACCGATAGATGATTCGTTCCTACCATAGATCTTATTACAATAAAATAATACAATAAACTATTCTAAGAATAGACTGTAATCAAAGTTATGTAGACCGATAGATAAGAGATTAAGAAAAATAACTAATAATACAATAAAACTATTCTAAGAATTGACTGTAATACCGATAGATGATTCAGATCTTATTAGACACAATAAGAGATTAAGAAAA